TGCAGGTAATCAATGTAAGGAGTTAAACAGTCTTATGGCTGATGGGAGGAAGGACCTGCGGTAGCGCTCCTTCCTGCATTGTGGATGCCGGAGCCTGCCGCTGAAGGAGCTACGCAGGTCCTCCACAGTCTGGTGCAGCGGTTGGGTGGGATTGTTTGTGATGGAGGACAGTTTTGTAAGTGTCCTGCTCCTTGCGACCTCCTCCACCGAGTCCAACGGGCAGCCCAGGACAGAGCTAGCCCTCTTGACCAGCTTGTTTAGTTTTTTTCTGTCCCGGTCAGTGCTGCCTGTTCCCCAGCAGACGACGGCAAAGAGGATGGCAGAGGCCACCACAGAGTCATAAAAAGTCCGGAGGAGGGGTCTGGACACTCCGAAGGACCCCAGTCTCCTCAGGAGGCGGAGGCGACTTTGGCCCTTCCTGTAGAGGGCGTTGGTGTGTGTGGACCAGTCCAGTTTATTGTTGAGGTGCACACCCAGGTACTTAAAGCTGTCCACCAGCTCAATGTCCAAGCCCTGGATGCACACCGGTGACGGTTGGGGAGACTTTTTCCTGAAGTCGATCACCATTTCCCGCGTCTTACTGGGGTTTAGGCACAAGGAGTTGCCCTCACACCAGTCCACGAAGTCCCTGATGACCGACCTGTACTCCAGTTCATACCCGTCAGACACGCAGCCAACAATGACTGAGTCGTCGGAGAATTTCTGGAGGGGACAGCTGCTGGAGTTGTGTGTAAAGTCCGACATTCTGTATATCAACTTGTTTTTTTTTCCTGTCTCTATGGCAGCATCTGTCTCCATGACAACTTTTGAGTCCTAATATTCAGTAGTATGCAGTCTGTCTTTGTTTAAGGACAAGTTTGAAAATAAATAAAAAAAATCAGACAATTCACCCCAGGTAATCTAGTTAGTTTTAGTATTTTCCACAGAATTTAGATCAGGACTTTGTGCAAAGAGGCTGAAGTACATCACCACAGGAAAGATGTTCTCTGGGTTAAATATCTGTTCCTTTTTTTTCTTTCTAAATAACAGCAACATCTTTGTGGCAATGAGTTGTTGTTTGGTCTGATGGCCTGACATCATGTCCAGTTTGTTCTTTGCAGGTATTCAGTCTCTTGTCTAGGATGGGCGCTTCAGAAGATGTAATGTTATCTTCGTTTTTTTTTTTTTTCTTCTAGGTTGTTACAGGTTATTCTGGATTAACTGTGGTTATTCAGATCTGGCCTGTAAATAACTGGGCTCCAAATAACTGGTCTCACATTTAAATACGTGTAGTGTTGCTGTGTTAAAAAAATAATAATTTGCAGGCTGTTTCTTTGAACAGTTTCCAAATGACACACACTCATTTTCTCACCACACAGAGACAAGTGAGAAAAACACAGGATTACATAACATCCCCACACACACACACGCGCGCGCACACACTGTATGTGGTTGTTGTTATTCATGTGATGCTATGGTGTTGCGCCGAATGATTTATGCTGCTTTTGTTACCCACTAAGAGGAAATGGAAACCAACACGGGAGAAAGGAGGAAAAGATTGCTTTGCTGTGTGGAATTAGTTTGAAGATTATGCTGAAGAATTTGACATTTGGCACAGGAACAGGGAGGTTGGTTAGTACGCCGGGTATTGGATAACTTAAAATGGAATATTTCACTGTGTGTGTGTGTGTGTGTGTGTGTGCGTGTAGAGGCGGTGAATGAGTCATCTGAGTTTGTAAAGGCTTATGTGAATGTGTGATTCAGTGTATGATTCAGAGTTTGATTACATGTAAAATGTGATAAAGAAGGAACAAGAATTGATGAGCTGAGAATTCACTCTGTCCAACTTTCTGCTTTTAGAGGAGTCAATAAACCAGTTCAATTAGACTGTCTGTAAGGCCGATTTGCTCCAAGGTTTAATTAAAAAACAGTACAGTTGACCCCTAATGATCATCAGTGTAAGTACAATACAAAAGTTTGGCACTTCAGCATTAGCTTCATTTTCTACCCATCTAGTTATAAAACCAAGGTTATTTTATCGTCTGATTTTAATCCAAGCCAAAAGAATACTATTCAATCCAGAGATGCAACAAGTAAAAATGTTTTTTGTACATGTGATTTGCTAATACATATTTGTGTTGCTGATTCTGATTTCCCTCAATTGACAGCCTATACAAACAGAAGTATTCTCCTGCTAATTTTTATTAAGTAATTAAAAAAAAAACTTTCCTACAAACTGAACAAAATGTCACCAATCACATAAAATTTGAGCTTTAAAATGAATGAAAAAATGAATGTCAAAGTGAAAAATCTGTAGTTCTTTTTTTAATATCCATCAGTTCCTTGGTAAACATGTAAAACCTCGGTGGACTGTAGCTGAAATCGTGTGTGAGGAGGAGTTGCTCCTCTTTGGGGTTAACGCTCAGCTCCAAGGGTGTGAAGACAGTCTGCCCCATTTCTCTTGCTGAACCCTCCTTTAGATGTAATTGAATTTCGGATTAATCTGCAGAGAAGGAAATAGGGACGAGGAGGAAGCAGTGGCTTGAGAGGCGGGAAAAAAGAAAGAAAAAACAATCAAAGAACGAGAGGCAGATGAGGGCACCTTCACTGTAAAGAACGGGATCAGCTCTTTTGTGGGATTTTAGAAGAACTGTTTATTTCTCTCTGGATTTCACATAGTTTTCTGAATTCTCTTTTACTCTGTTGTACTTCCGATCATATCTTTGACAGACAGCTGGGCCGAATCCCTCACTTTTCACCGGCTAATAACCACTTGTCAA